ACCTATGGATTATTATTTTTATTGAAATTCTTTCCATGCATTCTAAGTGAAACACAGAAGGATGTCTCTATTGTCGTTTTAAGCAGGTTCAAAAGTTAATCAACAAAGTTTTTACGAGTTGATCACGGATTGATATCAGTTAGAGAACGATTGAAAACCAGGGAGTACTGGACAGCTGCTGTTTCATCCTAGTACGCACCCACTAAGATTCGAACCCAGGACCCTCCGGTTACAGGGCAAGTTCGTATACCATTCAGCCACTGGGACCCGATTCAATGGCTCATGAATTCTAACTTCTACCAATTCGTGATTTAGCGCGACCCCAACCATTGTCATTGGTGGGACATCCATCCACACACGTGACATCTAATTGGACCTCACTGGTCACGACTTCTCACTAGAACTCGAGGAAACTCCATCCTGTAGCAAGTCACTCGTCAAAACATAACTAACCCTTACCAAAAGTGTCATTTCCTTTTCACATGTAGTCCACCATGTCATCTTCGGAACCAGACTGTAGTCATCGCTTTCCATCTGGATTTCACTTAAGGGCCTGGCCTGATGTATGATGTCACTGGAAGGTGTTCCCAGTGTATGTCTAATCCGTTTCCATTTCCTTCTGCATAGTTGCTCAGTAATAGAATCATGGTTGGTCCCCTGCACTGTTAGAGTTCCTTGGTGCCTATCCTTTCTGGCTAACCATCTGATCTTTAGGATCGAGTGAAGATATAGGCTGTTGATGAAAGTCTGCATTAGATTAGGCTGGTGGAAAATGCTTTTAGTGATGTGCACGCCAAAGTATCTAAACTACACTACACCGAACCAATGACTAACTTCACATTCGTGTTAAGAATTCAGATGTTGTTCGTTGTACTAATTGCTGTCATGTGAATCTCTAGACTATTATTAAAGTCATGAACACCCGTCTTACTTTTCTTAATTTATAGTCTATCAAATTCATGTGGGTCTAATACGAAGCTGGATGGTGCATAAAAGCCTTGAAAAGCTAAAAAATGTTATCTCGACCATGCATATATAAACGTTGTCTTGTTTTCTAAAGAAGAACTAACAAAATTACTTTGGAAAATTTTCAGATAATGTTAGGCAGGACAACCTATCGTTGTTAGCCATAAAGTCGTAATTGATGCATGCACTGACAGGATAACCTGATTGGATAGTTATTGATTGATTTTTGGAGGCTCTTAATGGTCATATGATCAGTCAGGGCAAAGTCAAACTATCATAGCCAATATCACAGTGACTTTGAACAACCAATCAGAATTCACCACATTAAGTTGTCGCGTATGAGTTGTAAGAATATCTCTTGGTTAGTACACAAATGATCTATAGAGAAATCGTAGCATGCGCTACAGATGTATTCACCCAGGTGACTGCAGGTCATGGCACTTTGAGATCCATTGATATTTCTGACGCTATTCTTTAAGCCACCCCTAACTCTAACTATAATCCTAACCATAACCGTAAACCATAATCCTAGAAGAAATATCCCCACCTAACAGTATAGATTTGCAGAGAAAGTACCTAGAGAATAATTAGAATACTGTATCTACTCTAACCAAATCCAAAAAGATAAACATGATCTGATTTGGAATGACGTTTCATAGCGTCTCCTGGATCTGATTGGTTCTTGAAGGTCAACTTTTGAAAGACCCTGACACTTTGGTTATGATACTTTAACTTCGCTTCAATCAGATATTGATTATTTTATGTACGGTTTAAATTGCCGTGGATGTGTAATTGGTATGTACATCGTGTATTCTGAATAATAAAAGTTGTTGTTGTTGTTGTGTCTGTCGCAGTTATATCTGACTTTTGTGTCTATCTCACTATGGGAGAATATTCTCAATTGATCCGTTGACTATAGTGTAGTGTCTGAAGGTGCATAGCAGTCAAGATAGACGACAACCACAAAAGAAGCACAGTAACACTCCCACCAGGAAAGTTCATCCTGCTCCGGTCTATCAACAGGCTTTCAATAAGGGGAATTATCTTTCATTCAAACACCGACTGAAGTTAATTCACATAGATAGATGTATTTTTCTGTTTCACGTAGCCAAAGCCTGATAGCAACACTTTTGATTTTTAATCCATGTATAATGACACTTCGATTATGTCTTGTACTACAACGGTTCCTTTTATATGTATATGACTTGATGTGTGATACGCTCAAAACTTGATGGCTTTCTGTCAGAAATCAGCCAGTGGTCCAAGGAAAATGGTCTTACCCTAAACCCCTCCAAATGCCAAACAGTCAATTTCACCTTTAGGCATAAGTCCGACCTAAACAAACTGTTTGGCTCTCACGAGGTATGCAACATAGACGGCATTGAAATAGAAACTAAATCGGAAATTAAATACCTAGGTGTCATTCTATCTGCTGATCTCTCCTGGTCGTCTCATATCTTAGCAATTTCTAAGAAAATATTCCGTCTTACCTTCTACATTAAGAAGTTAAAACATTCTGGTATTACTCAACCCTTACTCCTACAATTCGTTAATTCTCGCATCCTGCCTATTATTCTCTATTGTTCCCCCTTAGTTTTTCCCGGGCTACTGAAGAAAGACTATAACATATTACGCAGGATGTTAAATGTTGTCAGCAGGGTAAGCAACGTGCCACTTAACCAGCTTGTTAATATTCTGGTCGACAGGCACATAGACTCATGTGAAAAATGGGCCAAATCCATTTTATCTAACTCACACCACCCTCTTCATTCACAACTCTCCCCTTGCATCTCATCAGTCAAAAACCAGAAGCATATATAGAAAACTATATGCTCGCACGAGCAACTAGAAAGACTCAACCATACCCTACTTAGCTCGTTTTCTGTGCGATAAAGAAAGCATTAGGCGTGACACCTATAATTCATTAAATAGTCAGTAGTACAACTGGATCTCGTCTTTCCAACTCACATCATCAATAGGTACAACATTTTCTTTCTTTCTTTTCCTCTTCTCGCTCTCTCTCTTTTTTTTCTTTTTTCCGTTATGTGCTGCTTTGTTTCTTTCTTCCGCTTACGCCAGTTAATAAGACAGCTCCCACTTTTCTAACACCTTCAAACACTGTTTCAGCTTTACCTTTGCTACTGACATGCCAATATGTTGTTGTAATAATGAACTGTGGTTTCCTCAATCTATGTAGAATTCTATTTATTGATAATGTACTAACTGGATGCAATACTGTAGTAAAAATGCTGAGAATTACATTCTGTATCACATGTACTGTTTTGGAATAAAGCAAATTATTATTATTTTCAGTCTGAAAGTAGAAAAATAGAAGACGTACGTATGCAGGATATGCATACGGCTTAACTCACTCGTAAAAAAATATTCGATATTATTATTTATTATTATTATTGTTCCCTCGGGTTCCTAGTGGAACATAGGGCTTCAACTGCACGTCTCAACTTGCTTCTGTCTTCTGCTGTACTTTTCACGTGCATCCATGTTAGTCCATACTGTTTCAACTCCTCTTCACACGATCTCCTCCATGTCACCCTTGGAAGTCCCGATCGCCGCTTCCCTTTCGGGTTCCACTCGAGGACATGACGCGCGATGTCACCCAGCAGCCTCCTCAGCGAGTGTCCAATCCATCTCCACTTTCTCCTGCATATTTGTTGAGCGATTGGTTCTTGTTTTGTTTGTTTCCATAGTTTATTCGATAATAATAATAATATTAACTTTCACTTGATGTCGGAACTCTTGGATCTCCCCCAGTATTTATTATATGTACAGCGTCGGTGGTTTAGGCAGTAGAATGTAATGTTTACATATCGCCTTGACTGTAGTTATCCCTGAAAAGAGGGAAAGTTGGGAGATAGACTAGCAACCGTGTCCCTTAAAAAAACACATGCGCTACTGAAATTTCAAAGCCTGAAGCCTTATGTTACACTCGGTGGCACAGTGGTTAGGACTCTCGCCGACCATGCACATGGTCCGGGGTTCGATTCCCTGCCGACGCACACCCGATATCTATGGTTGGCCTGCAAAATTTGGGCTACCGATATCCATGCTGAAAATTCCATACTTGTACTGAAAAGACGGTGTGGCATCAAGCTGTAATCAAAAATAAAAAATAAAAAATAAACAGCTGTCTTTTGAACAGTATTGTTATCTATTGGAATGAGTTGGTTTTTCTTGACTTTTTAGCATACTCTAATCTCTAAGCAATATTATAAGGACCCAAACCATAGATGTTGCGAATTTCCTGGAATAATTTGAGCGCTGAGTCAGATTGAATTTATATTAATGCTTTATGCAATATGGTTAACATAAGAAAAAAACGGCTGTCAGCATTTTTTGTATTTCCTTACGTTCCCAGTGGAACATACGGCTTCAAGCTAGAGCTTTGAAGTTTCGGTAGCATTGGTGTTTATTTTTACTGGATGGAGTTGCTAGCCTCATGCCCAACCTTCCCTCTTTACCAGTTTTATTACTGGTTTAGCTAGGTAAAGGAGTGAATCTGTGGCCGGTAATCGAACCCCAGACCACATGCGTGGTCGGCAAGCATTCTACCGCTGTGCTACCGACGCACTGGCTGTCAGCCTAAGCCAGTCAAACAAATATAAGTTTTAGTACGTAAGGATTTGAAAATATTTATCCCATTATATATTGAATCGCGCAGCTACAACATACTTCATACCATAAATTATTCTAGACCACCTAACGTCTAAGTTTCAGTTTTGTAGTCTGCGCTTAACCATTTTGAGAAATCGGAAATATGCACAATTTTATTAGCAGCAGCCTACTAGATTTAACATTGTGATATGCTGTTAGTAGTATACGCTTGAATTATTTGTCAATTTCCAACTACCTGCTTTGAACTCAGAATGAAACAAATGCGTAACACTATATAACGTTTCTCTGTTGTTTAATTGGAAGAATGTTGAAATGAAAAACATTATTGTCGTCTATAGGACTTTTGTTGATAAAACTGGCCTCACGCTGTATTTCTGTGTATTTTATTTTTTTATACAAAGGTGCGTACTTTAAAAGAACCTGGCTCTAAAGCTCGACTCATACCATCACAAACGCTAGAAGAACGTCGACAGGCTTTCAATCAAGAGAAACTTCAGTGTATGTTGTAAAAAAATTGCTTAATTGCTTTTTTTTCTTATTATCTTTTCATAAAATATATTTCACATTACACTTTCATTTCAAAGTTGGTTTTGTCACCAAGAAATGCATTTCGTCCAATACTGACAAGGAACCCTGGGAGGGCAGCGAAACAATCAAGAACCGATTACCCAGGAAATATGCAGAAGGGGATTTGGATGGATTGATGAACATGCGCTAAGGAGATTGTTGAATAAAGTCGCATGGCAAATATACCCAACAGAGTGGAACTCAAATAGGAATCAACGGGTTTAAAGTGAACCCCGAGGTTGACATGGAGTGGATCATGTGAGTGGAAAATAGAAGGTTGTGCTCAATAGTGGAGCCATCTAGAAAAGCCTGTAGTGAACAAAGTGAAATGGTAATGTGCTGCGGAAGACCTATATTTCACTCAAGAACTCAACGGGGCTAATAATAATAAGGAGTCAGTAATAGCATAGAAAAAAGTACACAACAGTTTCGTTTAAGAATGAGGTTTAGCCGACACCTTTGAAGTTTTAAGTCACTTCATGACTTATTATAATACTTATATATTCATAATATGTGGTGTAGTAATTTTTCAAAATTATGTAAACGAACTGTTTTAGCATGAAAGCTTATTATTTCTTTCATATACCTCCTTCAAGCCTTATTACGATTACTTCATTTAGCATAATTTTATTTCACTACTAACAATTGATTCAATAAGTCATACTTAATGTATGTACCAGGTCTTTCGTTCCGCAAGTTCTCAGAGGGATATAAGACTTTCACGTAAGCTTTTACGTTTCAGTAGCGATGTTGTTGCTTTTGTGGAGTTAATTTATTGGTCTCAAGACTAACTTCCTATTTTTTTTTCGGGATTACTAGCGGCTGGTTGGGAATTGTACCCGGATCTGCTGCGTTTTTTGGCGAGCATTCGACCATAGAACCACCGACACGCTGTGCTGCACAAGGACTTTTTCACGGTTCCATTTTCACCGCTTCTCTTGTCCACTATTTGTACTTTGTTTCGTTGCTTTGTCATAATATCCATTTCCAATGTACTAACAGGGCTTACATGCTAGCATAGAATTCATGTTACGCATTTTGATTCATTCGTCTGCCATTGCTTCTATCATTAATGCAGTGCAGTGCTGTGACAGACATTTTGAAGGCTTACAAAATATTCAGTAGGCCGTTTGACTTTAACAAGTTCCTATCGAAAGGTACAGTTGTATTACTATGCTGTGATCAATTATCTGTCTTCAAGGCTTTTATTTACCTATGTATTAATGTATGTTGAGTATTGATCTTCTCGTTGACCCTGAAGTTAGAACTGTTATTGTTAATTCAAATTTTAAAAAATCAATCATAGCTAAAGTCATCAAGAGGGGCAGTAATATCAGTCATTGAAAATCCTGAAAAGGCCTACTTCACACTGAAGTAAGCACTGAATGTGTTGTCTAGAAGGACAACGAAAAAAGCTTTTGCAAATAAATCACCCAACTGAGAGAGTACAATTACAATACAAATAGCATCATCCACTTGAGCTACAAATCTTCTCTGTCATTTCAAAAAACTGAAAGTTCATCAGTATTTAAGAATAAACACTTTATTGGTTAATATTTGATGGTTGTTTTGTAAGCACTTTTATTTGATTCATAAAGTATAATTGAAGTCAAATAAAGATATAACCAATATATTGTAAACTCAAAAATCCCATACTACAATCAATGCTATATGAATGTTCAGACCATTTTCCCCGTCATTCAGTTTAGGTTTTTTCATCCAAGTAGATATTTTTGAGAAATCTCTCAGTTTCAAAGTATTCCTTCTTATAGGTATAAAACTTGGGCACTGTGGTAGAGTATAACTCCATTATGGATAAGATTTTATTTCGATAAATCACACAGTGTTATACTATAATATTAACTGATGACGAAGTTTCGAGCACAAATTATTGCCACTCGTAATCATATCAAGTCACTCACACAACTCTTTGCTATAGCACTGCATGCATTAACACGCAACCACACAATAGGGTGGAACATAGTCAAAATTCTAAAAGGTAATATAGGTAGGCGGAGACAGAGATTGATTACTGAATCCTGCCTGGTTCATCGAATCTACACTCCACACATGCAACAGAAATGACTCAACGCAAATACCAGAGATATGGAAGATATTGTTACCAGTCAAATTGGAGGAGGATAATAAATAATGTTAAAGTATATTTAATTCACATTGTAACATTCTAACAAGTGACTTATTTTTACTATAAAAAACATCTTATTCCCCATCTAACTGTATTTGATTGATAACACTAACATTATTTCTGTATGTACGTTATCCTGTATTGATTTTTTCTTCAAATATCTAATCAAATTTTACTCATGTTGATAAAGGAAGTAAAAAGTTGTGTGAGTGACTTGATATGATTATGAGTGGCAATAATTTGTGTTTGAAACGTCATTAGTTAATATTACTGTATAATACTCTATGACTTATCAAAATAAAATCTTATCTATAATGGAGTTATTCCTTCTTATGTCAACAGCAGCTAGGAGAATCAATGAAGTTGTCTAAAAACTCTTAGTTATTCAAAGTAAGAACTATCTAGCTGTTGTTGACTTCTAATGGCCTATTGGTTGGTGTTGATCCGTGATTAAACACTGAGTTGTGTACAAAAAAGGAATTATATATGTTTGCTTTGTCCTCTTTTATGGCTATGAGATAGTGACATTGATAATAATAATTATTATTATTTCCTTTAATTCCTAGAGGAACATAGGGCTTCAGTCGCACGTCTCCATTGCGTTCGGTTCTCTGCTAGAGTTTTCACCTGGCTCCAAGTCTGCCCATACGCTTTCAATTCTTCTTCACATGATCTCCTCCAGGTCACCCTTGGACGACCAACTCGTCGCTTCCCTTTCGGGTTCCACTCGAGCAATGGCTTGTCTAGTGATGTCACTTGATGGTTTCCTCAGAGTGTGGCCAATCCGTCTCCATTTCTTCCTGCCTATTTGTTTCACAATCGGTTCCTGGTTGGTTCGCTCCCAGAGATCTTTGTTGCTGATCCTTTCCGGCCATCTGATCTTGAGCATTGAGCGAAGGCATCTGTTAATGAAGGTCTGTAGCTTGTTTGAGGTGCCCTTTTTGACACGCCAAGTCTCTCATCCGTATAGTGAGTAGTACTGACTTCACATTGGAGTTGAAAATCCCGATCTTATTTTTGACGCTGAATACTGTTGACCTCCACACAGACTTGAGAGTAATGAAAGCTTGCCTTGCTTTTCTGATCCTTGCTTTGATATCCTCGTCAGTTCCGCCTGTAGTTGAAACAATGCTTCCCAAGTAGGTAAAGGAGGTAGTTTCTTTCAGGTTCCTTCTATTTATGCTGATTGCTGTCTGTTGTTGTTGCTGTGGCTGTTGGTGTTGGCCAGGAATCTTCATCACCTCCGTTTTCTCTATGTTCATATTGAAAATAGAAGGTATAAAACAGCTATCTTTGACCACAGAGGTTTCCATTCTGTCTCATGTGTTAAGTGGTATAGTGTGGTGAGTAATATTCAAGTTAGGCGTCGAGGTTTAGGTAAAGAGAGTGGGTCAATCGATCAGGTTGTGAAGACAAACCGATTGAGATCACTAGGATATGTGTTGTGTATGTTTGGCCACTTTATTTTGCGTTGAGCTATGTTAGTTGGGAAAGAGTTAAAGGTGATCAAATATTAAATCTGGCATCAACTCAAGAAGCCTGTTAGTTTGAACCACTTAAGAAGGTGAAAACTGCCTGGTTTGAGTCCTTAGGATGCTAAGAATCAATGGCTTGAGATGGTCGGTGATATTGCTCAAAATCTTTGCCAGTGACGCGAATGCACTCACTCTTCATGGTCTTGTACATCTACTAAACTGTCATGTTTTTCCATGTTACTACTATTCTTTCTCCCTCAGATTTCTTCTTCTTATTGAAATTTTCAATCTCTTTTGTCTACGTTTGTGCGGTAAATGATGTGTGACAAGTTGGACTGTTGCACTTCTCTGCAAAGTTCAATGTTGAAACTCTGCAAGTCAATTTTAATGTAACTATTACACCCTTATTATCTTCGTCATAATACTTGATCTTCCCCTACTTTTCTTTTTCCTTTGTGCAGCAAATACCAATCGTAAATCCTGGCGAAAGGTAAAAACATTCTTCAGAGCTGCAGATGCATCAGGTAAGCTAATAGCTACGCATATTTGCTAAATAACAACAAATTATTGTGTTTTGGTCACAAATCACCATTTATTTTTACTTGAATGTTGTATATCCTAACATGATTGACACTGAGTGACAAAACAAACAAACCACTTAACAGGCAGATTGATATTGAATGTCCGGGCCAATTGGGTCAAATGTTTTGTTTATTGACATGTAAGCTTTCGAATTTCAAGGTTCCTGAATACAGCTCAATCAATACGTGTTATTGATTGATTTTATTATTCTTTCATACGATATGATTTTCAATGCTAGGTAGACTGACAATGACAACTTATTAAAAGGTTATGACAGTACTTAGTTGATTCGAACAGTTGTGCTGTTAATGTGTACGTAATCATTTATAATAATTTGTTGTATAGGCCTACGCCTACGCTCAGATATATGGAGTTATGAAGAGGTTGTACCATGGCCACAATCTAAAGTACCTTGTCTCTTATTGATTGGTCCTAATGGAGTTGGTCGACGTAACTTGAAAGTACTACTTGCAAAACATGAATCGAAACGTTTTGCATATCCTATTACAGGTAAGTAAAACAAAAAAATAATAAAACTTTGTTTGTGTTATGTTGAATCTCATTTTCCAGTTAAAATATTTTCTTTTTCCAAGTGTTGATTTGTAGATATGTGGTTGGTATCAGATTTGATCATGAAGTGAGGCAGCACTGGAAAGCTGTTTCTTCCCCGCTCCTTTTCGGGGGGGGGGGGACTCTTCCCTAATAGCCACACATCACTCCCTCACAAATCGAACTTAGAACCCTTAGGTTTCGGGGTGATCCCGTTCACCATTCGGCCAATATGACAGCATCCAATTCTCCTGCCAATTCGTGATAATATAGCTCAGCTGCCAGCCAGGATTATCGACGAGTATTTATTCTCACACTCAACTTTGGCGCACCTCAATGGTCAAGACTTCTCATCCTGTAGTCAATCATTGGTGTAAACATTCGATTAAGTTTCAGGTATTGGTTTTCATTGGTTGAATTGGTTTTAAATTTGGTCACACTTTGCAAGAGTATAAGATGAAGCGAATCATCAATAGATGGAGTCCTTAAATCACTTAATATCCCGGCAAATCGATACCTGGAAAGTAATTTAATGCTCGCAGCTGACTGATTACCAGATGAATTTGCTTACAGAGCTAGTGAGAAGTTGTGACCAGTGGAATCCACCGATTTGGGTGCGAGAACAAATACTCGCTAATGACACTGGCTGGCGGTGGCGTTAGGAATTCCGAAATGACAGAAGTTAGATTTCATGCGTAAGTGAATTCAGTCCCAGTGAATGAATAATCAAAGGGTTCAATCCTCAGTGGGATCGTGGGTGTGCATACTACTGAAGAGTTCCAAAGAGGGATGACGAAATAGGTGTCCAGTGCTGCCTAATTCTCAACAGTAGTTTTCTAACTTTAAAAAAAATCAGTTTTTGGTCTCACTGAAAACTTAAAAGCGCATATATATATATATACTCGTGTGGTTAGCTCCCAATTCATTGTCTATTTCATACACAGCCGTGCAAACGCAAATACCACTTAAGTGTATATTCACTTAGCATCAAGATTTTGCTAGCATGTGATTCCTTTTTTGCCACTTTTGCTTAATGAAAATAATTCAAATTAAACCCAAGGGAGTGATTATATTCAAAGTGAAATTGATTTCAGTGGACGAGTGTTCAAAACTTTATTGTGTTTTTTTGTTGTTTCTAACTTTGAATATTATCAGGATTTCGTTTAAAAACTTCGATTTTACTTATGCGTTATGTTTATTGACAAATTAACTGATTGTTAACATTGTAAAGTAATGAAATTTATTCATATAGATAGAAATCGTTGAAAGAATTCAGTTCAACGTTCGCCTTCATGTTTCCATTAGAAGGATGTACGCAGTAATGTTAGATGGTCCCACTTTGGATATCGATGAAAATAGTACAAATCTAATCACCAATCTAAGTAGTGTTACTTTGTGACACCTTATTACTATATGCTTACTTCCTCTCTATATTGTGACCAATCTGCATTATTCTAGAAAACTGAAAACTTCATCTCAATTAAGTTTGTTTGTATTGTTAAAACGTTAGACAACTTCATTTGATTTGCAACTTTGGAGTAGTAAGGTTATTGCATCTGTTCATACTTATCTGTGTGATATGCGGATCATTTACACACTTGTTACGATGTGGTCGCATTATTTGGGCTGGGTGGTTTTCTTGCAGAGCTTTCTTTGTCTTATTTAAATTCTTCTCCATGAATGATATAATTGTGTCCCTTGACAAACCTATTTGGGATTGGATGTTAATTTGTCTACATACATCGATGTGAAAGAAAAAATGTGTCTTTCCACAGCTAGTCTATGTTCTTAGACTCGTAGTCTAAGAGGGCAACAACTTTGACTGATATAGTGTTTATCATAGTTGATGCAATTAATTTTGTAGATGGCACTTATGCTGTCCTTTTTGCTGTTGAGTCTATTGGTCGTCATAATATTGAATGAAGTGACAGTGTTGGTTTGTGTGCTTTATCTATCCTGAGTCGTTTTATTATCCTAGCCATTTCTTTGGGAACATTCTTTAGTAGAATGTATTTTCCAGTAGTTTCTAAAAATTGTTTTCCAGCTGATGTTTTGATTTGAGTTTAGATGTTTTCTTAATGAAACTGCAAAGGTATCAGTTTTTCTTGATGATAGTTAATACATTTTCCTCTTCGATCCTCCTCAATAATGGAGTGCTACAGTGCTTTATAAATCGTTTCTTCTTATTTTTATTATGATTGTTTGCTTGGGTTCTGAGTGGAACACACGGCTTCAACAGTACTTCTCCACTTTGTCCTATTCTCTGTGGTCCGGTTCGTCTGACCCCACGATTGCCCACAGTCTCTCATCTCTTCTTCGCATGATCACCTCCATGTCACCCTTAGACCTGCACTCTTGTTGCTAGTTCTTTCTTACCTGCCATCTGATCTTCAATATGGAGCTGGCAAAAGCAGTTGTTGGTAAACGTCTGCAGCCTGTTGGAAATGCTTTTTGGTGACGCGCCCAGACTGACTTAACATTGGTGTTGGAAATCTGGATTTAGTTTTTCATGCTGAGGGCAGAAGATTTCCATACTGAGTTCACAACGATGAAGGTGTTCCTTGCCTTTCCGATTCTGGATGGACTTGACATCCTCATCGGTGCTAACTGCCTATAGTTGGAAAGATGCTTTTTAGATAAGTGAAGGAAGTCACGCCTTTCAAATTCCTCCCGCTGATACTGATTGGTGCTTGTTGTTGTTGGTTGGTCACTTTCAACATCTCCGTCTTCTCCATGTTTACTTGCAGTTCTTTCTTCACTGCCTGCCTCTTCTGCCAGTTAGTTGGTTTTCGGCTTCGTTTTAAAACACTAGAAGAAGCAAAGAAAGTGCACAATGATTACGATTAATTTCATTGTGATGAACCCTATCTGTTAACGACGAGTTTTTTTCCCAATCACCGCTTTAAGTATACATTTTATTCTTTTCTAATATTAGATACTACTGATCCAACATTGCCAACAAACTTATTTAAAGTTTTATCAAAAGATCAAATGGAAGCTGATGTAAAATCTGGTGCTTATGTTGAATGGGGTAAAGTGAATGGACATTATTATGGGATTCGTTTCTCTGAACTGCGAAGAATTATAGCTAACGGGAAAACTGTTGTATTCGACTGTCAACCTCAAGTAAGTACTGTCGTTTGCAATTTGATGCATTCTCTTTTCGCTGTCAGCGTGCTTAAGATGATCTGTCAATTCGATACTATCCAACAGTTCAGTATTAATAGTTGGTGGGATTTAACAGCATGCCAATAACAAAATAATCACTGTACTCAATACTGATTATAATTTCTCTTCTTTTTCTTCTTTAAATTGAATATTACAAGGATTCATGGAAAGTGTTTTGCGAGCCATTGTTGTTCTTTAGGGGGAGGAGCTTCCGCCGAAAACATAGTCACAATCCCTTATGCTATGCAGAAGGTACATATCCAGTGCATCATCCGTTATTGTCTCATGGCTGTCCATTTCTTTTAGCCTTTGTAATTCATGCAGCCGAAATTTAGATGATAAATACGTACTACCTATGCGGTTTCCACCGAACACATGCAGCCTATTGCATTCTCTATTGTGTTATAACTTTGTGTGTCTTCTGTTCTGATGATCAGCTAATCTGTTATCTAGCATTAGCGTATATTTACTATTATTATTCTCTTGAGTTCCGATTGGAATATAGAACTTCAGCAATACACTACTATTTGACTCTGCTGGCTTCATGATCGCCTATAAACTTTCATTCCCCCTTTTACACAGTTTTATCCATGTCACCCTCGGACACACGCCCAACTCGTCACTTCTTATTCGGATTTCACTCGACAGCCTGACATTTGATTCCAATCAACCATCTCCACAGCGTATGTCTAATCCACCTCCATTTCCTTCTGCATATTTGTTAGGCAATGGGTTGTTGGTCAGCTAGCTGTCAGAGTTCTTTAATTCCCTATGCTTTCCAGTCATGTGATTTTCAGTATCGAGTGAAGGCTGGTGTTGATGAAAGTCTGTATCAAGCTGTTGGAAATTGCTTTTGATGACGTACACCCTGAACTATATAGAAGCAGTATTAAGCAGTATTCGTATTTTTTCCTTAATGAAGGTCTATCCTGGTTTTCCGATCTGACCCTCACTGGCTTTGTCGTCCTTATCTGTTCTGCTTATAGTTAAATCAGTACTGCCTAGCCAGAGAAGTCAATCAGGTGGCTTTCTTGAGGTTTTACCCGTTTAATAGTGATTGGTTGGTTATCTTCATCATCTCTCTCTTCTCTATATTCACCTGAAGTCCCGTCTTTGCTTTCTCATATTTTCGCCTCAAGATCTTGGAGTCTATACATCACTAGACAGAAATGAAACCACTCACACAGTTTTACATATTTTCACTTATTTTGAGCTAAATCATAAGAAACAGTCAACTTTTTTAATTAAAAATTGTATACTTATTAAAACGTCTACAATGAAATGTCAATATTTATATCTTCGAAGCGTAGGTGGAAAACTAAGTGGTATACTCAACTCTATGATTGACTGACTGACTGATTGATTGATGGATTGATTTAGATTCTTACAAGAATGTGTACTTACAGTTTGTCTTCTGATTTAACTTATCGTTTCAATGGATATGATGTGATGAGTATTGTCATGCTGACTCTTCTTACTTGTATGTTTTTAGCATTATTATTTATTTTTTTTAAAATCTAACACCTAAATTGAAGTAGTCTTTCAGTGTTTCATGCTGTTTAATAGTTTTTTTCCACTTCACTTATAAAACAATGGTAAGAAGTTATGATCATGTGTGAGTGTCTGAAGTTGTCTATTCATGTGATATATATATACATGCATTACTTTAAAACTAAACAGTTTGAGATTATATCACATATTTTTGAGCTATTTTGTTTTCACTCACAATCACAATTTATTAGTTTTGTGTTACAATGTGCAACTAAGTTAGTTGACTGGCACAAAACTTCTCCATATTCTGGACTATTAGGCATATTCAATGAATACTGATTTATGGTACTAATTTGTCTGATCGCTAAAATGACCGATTTATGTGGAATTAGATTTCAACTCTGGAATTGTTGACCAACTTATGTAAACCAGTTGATTCATACTGTGGTGTGTGCTACTGTGATCAGATTTATCAGTAGTATATGTTTAGAGACGTTCATGGTCACACAAAAATATCAAACAACGGAGAGATCGATTTCAAGTTAGAGAGAGGGAATGAACCAGTATTACGGCAAAATATGGGAGACATGAAAAGAAGACAAAGAAACACAATACGACGGAAGGGCAGAAGTAGCTTAACACGGAAGATCTGTCGAAATGAGGATTTTCACATAAGGTGTACATAATTTCTCTATATAGAGATATCAAATTCCAAATAAATATTCTCTTACCAAGTCTCTTGTCTTATACCACTACAATACTGCTTTAACCAAACCTAGAGATATTTCTGCACAAATTGAATATGTACAAAACTTCGCTTAGTACTAAAGATCAGATGGCTAGAAAGAATAAGAATCAAGGAACTATGGTAGGCAAAAAAAAATAACCAAGAACCTATTGCCCAACAAATATGCAGAAGAAAATAGAGAGAGATTGGACATACTCTCAGGAGACCGTTGAATGACATCACTCACAAGGCTTCTGGTTAGAACCCGACTGGGAAATGATGAACTGAGTGTAGATATGAGGTTGATGTGGAAAAGGTTGTATGAGGGGGAAGTGAAAGCTTATGGACAATCAAGGGAACTAGCTAAAGTAGACTACAGAAAACAGAATGAAATGGAGATGTGCCGCTGAAGCCGTGTGATCCACTATATATATATATGGTACTTCTGATTGGACACTAGTTAATAACTAGTGTAATGTGTCTAGTGTTACTAACTCGTGTCCAATCAAAAGTATCCAATTCAGTCTTACAGGAGGTCAATCGCTAGCCCGAACAGCTCAGTGGTAACACCTCTGACTGCAACAGTGGGTGACGCCCATTCGTGTCTCAGAGTGGACATGAGTTCCTTCGAAGTTGCAGATACGCCCTCTTTACTGATCAGTACCAATTTGCACAACACCTAGGTCAAACAAGGCTTCCTGCTGAATGCCTCCAGCCACCTAATATATATAATACTTGTTATATGATGCACTGTCTTCTCTTGATAGCCTTAAAGTCAGTGAATGCCACAGTATTATAGCATTTTTCACGTGTCTTAATACTCCATTTGTATATTATACTTCTCTCATAGCTACATTAAAAAAAGGACAAGCTATTTAAAGACTTGTATTTATTTCTCTTTCTTTTTTCAGTGTATATGATACTAGTTATTACTGTTCTGTTCACAAAATTCTCCAGGTTTTTTCCCTTTGTAATAGCTGAAGATAGGAAAATGCCCATTAGACATTATTAGTACCAATAATGTACACCTACTTTTTTCTCTCGTTAGTGTTGTTTATGTTTTTTAAAGCTTGTAAAATTTTAAAAAAAAAACACGAATAAGAAGATCAGGACTTTGTAGTATGCATAATTGATGCTATTCCTCCATCCTCCTAGGACTACTTGTAAATGTTTTGCTTCAGAATAAAAACATCTAAATAATAACATGCAGAATAAAAATACAGTTGGTGAACACAACAAGCTAAAAGATGTTGGTGTAATTATCAAGTACACTCGAATAACGTTCATCGTAGGACACTATTTCCAGCAGTAGAAGATTAAGCAAAGAAAGTGCATCGTAATTACCACTATCTGTTAACTTCCTGAGACACCGACTTCCATGATCTCTCTCTCTCTCTCACTCCACTTAGGTGGTCGTAATTCACCACCAGCAGGTGTTAACCATCTACAACCATCTGTCATCATCATTATGAGTTGATGACCTCCCCTCCTTTCAACCAGTCAGGATGGTAAAGGAACTACCGGGGTGGTATTTGTAACACATGTGAAGAATACTGAAGCTGGTGTTCTCTTATTTGACACTACCTGTTCAAAAATGTCTTCTACCGTATTGAAACTTAGAATTGCTTATGTAGTGTCAACACTAAAAGCTGTCCCTATGGAAATGCTAATGATTAAATACATGTAGTCACTGCATGTGAACCGCCCAGAGAGTTCAACTTTCACAAATATAAATCAAGGCTGCACACAGTAAAGCTTCTTAAACCTGATTACTGACGTCAACATAAGACGAATCAACAGTGATTAAAATAAGACTGGAATTTTTGATGCTTTGGATATTCTTTGGCTTGTTGGGAATTCTTCTATTATTATTTCCTTTAATTCCTAGAGGAACATAGGGCTTCAGCTGCACATCTCCACTGCGTTCGATTCTCTGCTAACGTTTTCACCTGGCTCCAAGTCTGCCCACATGCTTCCATTTCCTCTTCACATAACCTCCAAGTCACCCTTGGACGACCAACTCGTCGCTTCCCTTTTGGGTTCCACTCGAGGGCTTGTCTAGTGATATCACTTGATGGTTTCCTCAGAGTATGGCCAATCCACCTCCATTTCTTCCTGCCTCTTTGTTTCACAATCGGTTCCTTGTTGGTTTGCTCCCAGAGATCCCTGTTGCTGATCTTTTCTGGCCGGTCATCTGATCTTGAGTATTGAACGAAGACAGCTGTTGATGAAGGTCTGTAGTTTGTTTGAGGTGCTCTTTATGACGCGCCAAGTCTCTGATCTGTGTAGTGAGTAGCACTGACTTCACATTGGAGTTGAAAATCCGGATCTTATTTCTGATGCTGAGTGCTGTTGACCCTCACACAGACTTGAGAGTAATGAAAGCTTGTCTTGTTTTCCCGATTCTTGCTTTGATATCCTCGTCAGTTCCGCCTGTGTAGCTACCATGTTAGGAATAGTGACAATTTATTATTCTGTTTTAAGTGAAAATCTAAGTAACTACTAGTTGTGTGGTGAGTGCTACTTATAATCCGATATAAGTTGTATATCAGAAACGAATTCAGAAAAGTAACAATATGTTTGGCACACTGGAAAGAGCAATCAAAGAAGAGAACCACGAGAAGAATGTTGCCATATGATGCAGAATCCAAGAAGCTATCGAATGTGACGATATTCGCCCAATTCGTCAAGGATGTGGTAAATGATGTGCAAATGGCAGGTTGAGAATATGGTATACCGAATTTAGCTATGTACCTTACGTTTCACCAAATAAATATCCCTTTCAGTCTCCTCGGTCTTATCTTCTTTACAGTTGTTTATTTTAAGAGATTTTCAGCTTACTGTTTGTTTCCTCCTGTTTATTTGTGTTTCAACTGCATTAGAAACAACTCAATTTAATGTCATTCTTAATATTGACGTATTTATGGTTTCTTTTTAGTCATTACACTTATTACATCAACCGGAATTCAATCCTTGTGTTGTTTTTGTGGCTGCTCCATCATTTGAAGTAGCCAAAACAATGTTACACGATGGCTTGCAAGCCAATGTAACGACAAATACTCGCTCAGTAAGTTATTGAATTTTACTGTCTCATATTTCTACTGTTTACCACATAATTGTTGTCACTACGTATGCTCACTGGCAGACATGCTTTTGCTGGAATTATCGGTACAAACTATTGATCGCTTGTTGAAAACCATATCGTAAAATGATTACAATAATTTCAATCATCTACACATTTCTCAAAGTGTGCAGTTCAGAGTCAATGAAAGTAAGTGCAACGGTCACGAACAATAGCGAACGGCAAAAGTCAAAGAGATGGAAAAGGCCTTGGTAACACCAGATAACAATTTATGATTGTTAGGAAAGTAGGTTGTATAAGGTAAATGATAAGCGAGGCAGTCTCTAAGGAGAACAGTGCTTTAATTATATCTCCGAATAGAAAGTTGGAATTTTTGAGGTAACACTTTGAGGAGCAATTTAACTGGCCTACAGACACTCTCAATTCGCATGGAGGATTTCATCATGAGCTGACATCAGTTAGAGAACCACTGGAAAACCAGCTGGGAGTACTGGACAACTGTTTCGTCCTAGTTTGAGGCTCTTCATCAGTATGCGCCCACCAGCACGAAATAGCCGCGCTATGTCGTGAATCGGCAGAAGTTAGAATTCATGGGTTGGCCATTGGATCGGGTCCCAGTGGCTCAATGGTCTACGAGTTCGCCTTGTAACAAGAAGATCCTGGGTTAGAACCCCGGTGGGCGCGTACTAATGAAGAGTCCCAAACTAGGCCGAAACAGCTGTCCAGTACTCCCAGCTGGTTTTCCAATGGTTCTCTAACTGATGTCAGCTCATGATGAAATCCTGCATGCAATCAAACAAAATCTCTACAAAACCAATACTCTCAATTCGCTCATCGTCAGATATCTATCTATCGACCCTAGGATAGTAGTGACAAACTGTTGTCTAGGTTAATTGAGATACTAGGTGATGTCTGGGAATCAAAAAGAGTTCCCTTAGACTGAGAAAGAATCCTTTCTACGACAATCTTGATAAGCTTGACTAATATGGAATCCTAAATTCTAGGTTCAGTTACCATGCATACAATAAGTGGAGCTCGGGAAAACCAGACAGGCTTTAGGTCAGAAAGGGGATGTATTAATCATAACTTCATCCTTTAAAAGACTGGAATATTGGCATATTTGCCAGAATAAAACACTTGCGATGATTCTTGATCTGAAGGAGACATTTGGCTTCGTCGACCCAGAGGTACAACAAAACATGTAAGCCTATGAATCGATCAATATGCACCATTTAGCCGTTTGAAATCAGCAATCAAGATATATATATATATATAATATCGCCTTTACCTTTGTTCTGTAACCTTGGTTATTTTAGGATGAGGAATTGCAGTCTATTATCAAAGAATCCATGTCTATGGCAGTAATATATCGTCATTTATATTCTCATACTTTGGTAAACAAAAATATGAAGGAAAGTGTTGAAAAACTAAATCGTTTGATATCAAAACTGGAGCGTCAACCATGCTGGATACCTTGTGGTTGGGCGTACGAGTTAAGTGTCCCATACAGATCAGGTATGTATAGTCGATTGTTGAATTTCATTGAATTAACAGCAGCATGATTTATTTTCACTTGAAATTTTTATACAAGAATGTTTTAATGTCTTTTCTCGTATTTATTAAATTTTGATATAATAGGGAGAGAAGGTTCAGCGTATATACCTGGATCAAGTAGTTTGAGTGCACTTGGTATACATGACTTACCACCATCGTCTAGATCTTCAGCACTTTCAAGATCTATTATTTCTGAAGCATCTACTGAAACTGCTTCTAGACTTGCTCGACCTCCAAGCATATGTAATGGAAATTCATTAAATACTTCAGGACGTGATCGTCATTCTGGGAGTCAAAGATTGTATGAAAGACATCGACGTGCTCAACATGAACTTTATCATCCACCGATACCTGAACAAGATACACCATCAGAATCCCTTGATAGTCGTTGTTTGGATAAACTGCCTACTGATCGAATGAGACCAAAGTGTAGTCTTCCGTCTACTCAAGAGATTATTCAACCACCTCATAGAATTCAGGCATCACCTAATGCAGATCAAGTAAGTTTGGAAAATGGAAGTGTAAATTGATTAACCCTTATTATTTTATTGCAACTAAGGCTTTAGGACTAAGTGGCGTACTAGTAAAAAGTTACAGTCAGTTACGTATCTATGCTGTGCTTTTTTTATTCCTTTTGTGTTCGACACACATCAAGCTTAAGTTCTGAGGTTTCAGTAGCTGTGGTATTTTTTCCAACGGAGTAGAGTCACCAACCTCTTTGTTATCGGGCTTACTACAGGCTAATGGCGACGGTGGTTAGGATGCTCACGGCATACTTAGAATAAAATAATCAAAGATTTCAAGGAAATTCACTTACATGATGATTAAACTATGTGTTGTGAACGTTGAGGATCATGGACACAGTGACCAAGCAGATGTATCATATTTTTGACTGTATTTAAAACTGTTATTTCACTTTCGCTTGACCCTCTGAGGTATAACATCTTCTTCATATCTTTCTGTTCCGAGTGGAACATAAGGCTTCAAGCTGGAGTCTTGAAGTTTCAGTGGCGGGGATGTTTTCTTTTGAGGCTTGGCCACAAAGTTAAACTATTATAGCATTAATCACAGATGCCCTGAACAACCAATCACAATTCACATGCGAAAAAGTCTTCTAATTGTTTTTTAAGATGTATTAAAAGCCATTTCAAACATGATATTACACTGGATAACTGTCTCTTATGTGTTGTAAGAATGTTTCTAAGTTACCCCAAGGATAATCCATAGAGAAAGTATACCATACACAATGCATGTATTCATCCAGATGACTGTAGATCTTGGTACTTAAGGATCTATTGATATTCCATACTCTGCTCTTAAACTTACCCTTAATTTAGAGCAGGGCTAGAACCGTATAACCGTACCAAACAGCACAGATTTACTCCATCTTTACGGAACTCACTCACCAAATCCATAAGAACAGTCTCTTTTGATATGGAATAACCTTTCACAGAGTTCCCTAAATCTGATTGGTTCTTTAAGGTTTACTTTTATTCAGACCTTAGTTTTAACTATGATAGTTTAACTTCACCGGTCTGGGGTTAGCTAGCCTCATGCTCAACCTGCTACTTTCTTTACCTAGCTTACTATCTGTTAAGTGAGGTTCGAGAGTGAGTCAGTTGGGAACTGGATCCTGGGCCAAGTAGTTGGTTAACAACCATTAAAAGACTGGAATTCTTGTTGGGGAAACTAGTTTCTGTGTTCGGGTCCAGAAGAGTCTCACTGGTAATCTGAAGTATGGTTCCTGAGACGCACCAATGCCTATGACACATGACCACACCCAAGTGTATGACACATATAGCAGAAATGAAGACAAAGTGAAGCATGAAAAACCAAGTAACCAAATATATTTAATTGAATTTTAGATTTTCCCGTCGATTGATTGGACCGAAGTGCTCGGTCTCAGGTTGACATGTCGGCTTCTTGTGCAGATGCTTCGACGATGTCTGGGCATGTAATTAGAATTTAATTGGTGGATGATGACTATCAGTGGAATCTAGGATGCGCATTTCGTCTTATTTGTGACTCGTCATCTGGATGCACCTGCATTTCTCAGTGAGTGATGATGTTCCCACCGAGGCTCGAACCCAGTGCCTATAGTTTCAAACGCCAAAGCAGTATCCACTAGACCACTTGGGCCACGAGAGCCACCTCTTGTTCAGCAGGTCATATTAATTTAATTGAATTTTAGATTTTCCCGTCGATTGATTGGACCGAAGTGCCCACTGAAATCCAGATGACCAGTCACAAATAGGACGAAATGCGCATCCTGGATTCCACTGCTAGTCACCATCCACGAATTAACCAAATATATGTTTCATTGATAAGATAAAAAAGTATGTACTACTGACTTTCTATCCACACATAGCCTCAAACGTGTTGGAATCAATGCATTGAGGATGATGTATATACAACCCGATGCTGAAATTATTTTCTCATCTTTTCAGTCACTTAAAGCTTTTTCTTCTTTTAATATTCACTCAGGTCAGTGGAACAGACTTACCACATACTGATACCAATGAAGACGAGATTAACATGATCACTGATTTACAATTGAAGCCTGATGCTGCAAAAACATCTCCAACTAAACCAGTTCATCATAAAATAGTACAGAATAAAAAAGAAGAGGAATTCAGTTCAACATCTACTGGTGGCAGTGATGAAGATAATGATGATGCAGCCAGTTTTTGAATAATAATAATAATAATCACACCAACATGTCTCCCATAAACAGCTGGAATGAATTCAAAGATGACATTACTGATGGATTGTACTTCCTTCAATACTTTATATTTTATCCATTCACTATTATTATTATATCCTAGTTACTTTATTATACAGATTTCTTAAACTCTTAGTTTTGCTAATTTCGAGCATAGTTTTGATGCTTCGGATGATCTATGGCAGCTTCACTGATTTACTATCCATATCACAGTTGTTGTTTTTGTTTTGTTTTCTAATTTCTGAGTGTTCGTATATACTTTTTTTTGTTTTACTCACTCAAGAGTACACTGCTCATATTGACTTTTTACTCCTTTTTGGTTATATCAGTATTTTTCACTTTTATATTACTTCCGCCTATTAGTACTGCTGCTTGTGTTACTGCTGATATAATTTGAATATTCGGAATTTTGTAGTATTATCTATTTTATTTTATTTATTTTTTGACATGATTTTTTTTAAACAAATATTTTAATATTAAACAAGTTGTTTTGAATTACATAAATATGTGCACATAATTGTTCCTTTGGGTTCCGAGTGGAACATTGCGCTTCAACAGCATATCTCCACTTTACTCTATTCTCTGTGGCCCTCTTTAGCTGGCCCCACGACTACCCATAGTCTCTCATCTCATCGTCACATGATCGCCTCCGTGTTGGCCTCAGACGCTTAACTTTCTTGTTTGCTATTCGTGTTCCACTCCACGATATGGCGCGCGATGTCACTCGACGGTCTACTCAGAGTGTGTCCGATCAATCTCCATCTTCTTCGGAATATTTGTTAAGCTCTATGCTCTTGGTTAATCCTTTTCAAGAGTTTCTTGTTGCTAATTCTTTTTTACCTGCCCCCAAATCTTCAATATGGAGCCAGCGAAGGCAGCTGTTGATGAAAGCCTGAAACCTGTTGGAAATGGTTTTCGTGATGCACCATGTTTCTGACCCTTATAGAAGAAATGAATGACTCAACATTGCTGTTGAAAATTAGAATTTTGCTCTTTTTGCAGGGTGCAGAATACTTTCAAACTGATTTTAGATTGATGAACGTGTACCTTACCTTTCCAATTCTGGCTAGCTGGCTTTGATATCTTCATCCGTTCCGCCTGTAGTTGAAACGATGCTGCCTAGACAAGTGAAGGAAGTGACGTCTTTCAAATTTCTCCCGTTGATAGTGATTGGTCCTGGTGTCGTTGTCGTTATTGTTATTGGTTGGTTATTTTCATCACCTCCATCTTCTCTATGTTCACTTGAAGTCCAGTCTTTGTCGCCTGCCTCTTTGCGAGTTTTTCTGTCTTCTTATCGGTCCAACGTATTCTTGTCTTCTCACTCCCAATGCACATTCTGACGCATAATCCAATCCACCACAATTAAGAATGTCATCGGTGATAATTGGCAGCCAGCCTGTATTAACTCCTGTCTCCACTTCAAACGTCTCGCTGAGTTCTCCGTTTTGGATCACCTGACACATGGCACTGTCATATAGCCAGTTGTTGAATGAGGTTGATAAAGACTTGAGCACTGCACACCGTAGTGTTGAAGAAGTTTCCAAATTCTCAATCAACGCTGTCTGGTGAAGGCCTTTTCGAACTCGATGAAGTTGAGGTAGAGGTTTGACTTCCATTCTATGCTTTGTTCAGTGATGATGATGCGTAGAGTTGCAATTTGATCATCACATGATTTGCCTTTCCTGAATCCAGCTTGTTCTGAGTGGTGTGGCGGAGTTCTGTATCCAGTGCATCTTTCATTCTCTCCAGGATAATGCGACTTAGTATTTTACTTGACGTGTACATTAGCAGTATTCCACGCCAGTTCTTGCACAGTGAAGCGTGAGTCCCCCTTCTTTGGTAGTTTGATAAGGTAGCCAGCCTTTCTTCCAATCGGTAGGTACCTCTCCTTCCTCCCAAACGTTTTGCAGTAGTGGCATGAGCGAAGCCGAAGCTGTCTCTGGGTCGGTTTTCAGTACTTCAGGGGGAATTCTGTCTGGCCGTGAAGCCTTTCAGGCTGGCTTCGATTAGCTTGACTTCACCCAAGGCTTCTACTTTTGTTGGAGGATTTGTATTCACTGCCAGGTAGTTATGTGTTTGCTGTCGGTGGTATTTCTAGGTGAGTTACAGGTGATGCTTGACTCAAGAGTCCTTTGAAGTGACCAGCCCATTTTCCTATTTATCTCTGTTCGGTAATTAGATTCCCTTGACTATCTTTTATAGGTTTCATCTGCGTTGATCTCTTCCCGAATATATATATATATATATATATATTATAGTGCAGTTTATTTGACATTACACACAGTGATACAGTATTTATAACTGTATAACGTTTTGAGCACAACTCATCGCCTATAATTATATGAATGTATACCCCTTTTTATTCATTTTATTTTTCATATATTCGGCATAGACTTTGCATCATTCCGACTGACTGTGAGGTCAATTACAAAGGTCAATCTAGTAGATCGGCGTAAATCAGATTATCGGAAAATAACAATTTATCAACAGATAGAAAGATTGACCCTAATAAATTGAGTAATATGGAAAACTTTCACGTAATCACACAATGTGGTTGGATAGGGTAAAAGTATTAGAAGTAATATAGTTAGGTGGAGGCAGAGAAATTATTCATCGATTCTACAACATCAAGTACATGCAATCAAGATGACGCAAAGCCTATACCAGACATATGGAGATTCGCAATAAAAAACAGCAGGTAGTAAGATTATACATAAAACAAATATGAAGCCGTATGAACACAATGATATGATTATGTGAGCAATAAATTGTTCTCGAAATGTCATCCAGTTATTAATACTGGATCACTGACTGTGTGTTACATCGAATAAACTTATCTAGTATGGAGTTACATTCTAACACAGTGATGCCTAAGTTCTACACTTACAGAAAAACATTTTTTCTACGAATCACCATTGTTTCCCAACAGTTAAATAATATTTTGAAGACTTGATTTGTGAGGAATAGATTCATTTTTCGAGTTTGCCCACGGATTGATATCATTTAGAGAACCATTGAAAACCAGGTAGTACTGAAAAGTTTTTCATCCTAGCTTTTTGGAATCATCAGCACTAGGCCAATCAACTCTTGAAAATTAATCGGATGCTCGCTAGTGACTTGCAACAGGATGGAGTTTCCTGGATTCTAGTGAGAAGTCGTGACCAGTGAGGTGCATCCAGTCGGGAGTGAGGATGGATTTCCCGCCGATGAAATTGGTTGGTGGTTGCGCTAAATGCATCACGAATTGGTAGACGTTAGAATTCATGGACTGGCCATCGAATCGGGTCCCAGTGGCTGAATGGTATATGAGCTCGTTAACCTTGTAACCGGAAGGTCGTGAGTTCGAACTGTGGCGGTGGGTGCGTACTGCAGATAATTCCCAAACTAGGATGAAACAGCTGTCCAGTACTCCCTGTTGGTTTGCAATGGTTCTCTAACTGATATCAATCCGTGGTCAAACTCGAAAAACGAATTAAATAATATTAATGTTATACTTTTTATGCATACACTTAACTTGCTTCATTGAAATTCACTAAAAACGAGTGAGCAATACTCGGATACTGAGAAGAATACATGATAACAGTCATCAAACAATTCTTTAGTTTGTTTATGGAAGCATCTGTAGTAGAATATGAGCTTGTTCTTCTCCAAGACTCTTAAGTAGTGTATACTACAACTTTTACTACTATTACAAAGAGATTAACAATTATAAAATTGGTTTCCCATTTGTTCATTATTATCACCAGCTGTTGTTAGGTTATTTTTACTGCTCGTTAACAGAATTACTACTTAAAGTAGGCATCTTTCTTTTTCTCCAATGTAGAGTGATGATTTACTCAATGTTCCGATATTTTAGAAAACACACTTCAAAAATGTTCCATTCATTGGACATGTAACGTGTGAAAGGCGGCTATTTCCACAAAATATTCAAGCAACACTCGATTGCACTCTTCCTCAAGTTTCAAAGATAGTAGTAACTGACACCGACTCGCCCCATCTTGTCACAGACTAGTCGTATTTTGTTAACTAACTTCATTTTTAGCTTGTCATCGATCCTATCCTGAAAACAAGAGGTAATTTCAATTATCAAGTGTTGCTTCGCAGGGATTTGATTGGTCACAGGTTTGATCACGATTTGACATTAGTCAGAGAACCGCTGGAAAACCGGCTGGGAGTACTGGATAGCTGCTTCATCCCAGTGGCTGAAAAAGTCTACCAGCTCGCCTTGTGACCACAAAGTCCTGGGGTTCGGACATCAGTGGGTGCCTGGTGAAGAGGAGGCTCAAACTAGGACGAAACAACTGTCCAGTGATTCCGGGTTTTCCAGTAGTTCTCTATCTGATGCCAACTCATGATGAAACCTATAGTGTTAATTGCCGTGTGTGATTAAATCCGTTTCTGCATTTAATTAGTCCTTCATGTCATTGGTGAAGAGTATTAAACAATGTTTCTGACAGTATCCTGACGACTAAAGTCTTTTCCATTCTTTTACAAAAAGAAACAAAGTAATATCAATGAGTTTTCTTGTTGTATCGATTTTTATGAGCAGGTGCTGATGTTTCTTCATATCTCTAGTATATTTTATTTTTAACCTTGAAATACCTTATTATTGTTTGTACACTGATTAGAAAATCATACAAAAATTAAATTGTCATTTTTCTTATTCCTCTGTGTTCCCAGTGGAACACAGGGCTTCAGGCCAGAGCTTTGAAGTTCCAGTAGCAGTGGTATTTGTCGGTATTGGGTAGGGTTCCTAGCCTCATGCCCAACCTTCCCTCTTTAACCCTCTTACTATCATCCAAGTAACGTCTAGGAGTATTTCAGCCGAAAGTTGAACCAGGACTGCCCACCTGTCAGGTGAGCATTCTACCACTGAACTACCAGCACAAATAGTCGTAATGTGGTAATGAATTGACTTAATTTGTTTGTGAAGTCTAACCTAGTTAGACAAATTTGAACTGCTTTCGGAGTTGATACAATATAGTTATAATTGTTCACTTATTATCGTTTTTAACTTCCTTAAGTCTCAGTTAAACCTCAATTCTGTGTAAAGTAATTAATTCAATTAGAACAAGCTCAATGTGATAATAAATGAGTTTGGAAAGAAAACTGAAGTAGCTGGAGGATTCGGATCATCGACTTTAGAAATAAAGACTCAAAAGTGTATTAATCGAGGTAATACATCCAATGTTGATACATCTATGCGACTGTGACTGGACAATTTCTTTAAGATGCCATTATTTAGAAAAATATTTTTGTCGAAGGATTTCATAATGAGCTGACATTGGTTAGAGAACCATTGGAAAACCTGGGAGTACTGGACAGTCTTTCTGTCCTAGTTTGGGACTCTTCACAGTACGCACCCACTGCCAGGGTTCGAACCCAAGGCCTTCTGGTCACCAGGTAAGTGAGCTCGTAGACCATTCAGCCACTGGGACCTGATCCAATGGCCAAACCATGAATTCTAACTTCTGCCAATTCACGACAGAACAGCCACTTCGCAATATCTTCTTCAATGAGTTACTGCCTCACCTTCAACCTGCTGTACCCAACTGGTCATGGCTTCCACCAGAACCCCAGGTTAACTGCCTGAATACAGCCAGCCAGTCGCTAGTGAGCATCAGATCAATTTTCAAGTATTGATTTTTGTAGGGATTTTGTTTGATTGGTTGGAGGGTTTCATCATGAGCTGACATTAGTTAGAGAACAATTGGAAAACCAGCTGGGATTACTGGACAGCTGTTTCATCCTGGTTCGGGACTCTGCAGCAGCTCATGATGAGATCATCCAGCCAATCAAAAAAATCCCTACAAAACCATTACTTATATTGGGTTTTTTTTTTTCACTTCGTATGTGTATGGAATAATAGAAACAATGAAAATCAAGATTCACAATGAAGACTGTGTGTGTATGTGTGTAGCACTGAGTACATTCAAATTTCTTTTATTTATATACCAGCAATTTATTAAAATCAAAGTATTGAATAAATTTTATTCAAATTATCTGTTACGTATAGCTTTGTTGAGTTTGATAACATATAACAAACATGTCAGCAATAAATAATAAATACTTTACAGAAAATTGTGAAAGGGAAAATAATGTTACTCAACAACTATATCTGAAGTTAAATGATATAAACCAAATCTCAAAAGTTTAATTAATCAGCTGACTGGTTGGAAGTTGATTACCTTTACTAAACTAATAACTTATAGCATAACCTCAGGAAAGAGGAAATAATAATAATAACCATAATAAGTATATACAATTATGAACGTGTAGAAAAAGAGAGAATATGCGTTTATTTAACATCATAGTGTAGCCCGTCAGCGAATCATTTTAAAGTAAACATTCATTTTAAATAACATGTACTAAGCGATTAACACAATCATTTTAATAAATTTAATTTGAAACTATGAACGGACAGACCAGGAAGAATACTTATAACCAATTCTCAACGTTTATAAATAAAATGAATTTAATTTAATTAACAAACACATAAAAACCAATGTAACTACTTAGCACATCCAACAAAGTTATAACGTGGTGAACTAACTTAAGGAGGTATACGCTGTTGTGAAAAAAGCAATAGATGGATAGATGAATAAACAATATCAGAATGTATGTAAAAAATGGATTTTTAGGGGGTAAAATTATGTTTCTGTGTGTAAAACTCTCAAAATTAGCTTCGAAAGCATTGACCGAGAAGTAATTTGGAAACTATTTCAACATTATGGCGTACTTCAAATCTTTATCAGCCTCACTCAACCGTTGGCTATGTGACAATGCCATGTGTCAGATGATCCCGAACGCAAAACTCAGCAAGGCGTTTGAAGTGGAGACAGGAGTTAATGGAAGCTGCCTGCCAATTATCACCGGTAATATTCTTAATTATGTTGAACTGGATTATGCATCGGAATGTGCATTGGGAGTGAGAAAACAGGAATACGCTGGAATACCGATAAGATGATTCTAGAAGATCCGGATTTCGCGCGTGGGGGATTTATGTTTAATGTCACAGAGACTCGAAGACTTGCGGTCGAAAACCAACAAACTGGCTGAAGGAGCGAGGCAGGCAGTGAAGACAGGACTACAAGTGAAGAAAAGACGGAGGTGATGAAGATAACCAATGAACAGCAACAGCAACAAGAACCAGCACCAACCACTATCAATGGGAGAGATTTAACAGCGGTCACCTCCTTCACTTATCTAGGAAGCATCGTTTCAACCACAGTTAGTCGGAACGGATGAAGATGTCAAAGCCAGCCAGCCAGAGTCGGAAAGGTAAATTGGGCCTTCATCAACTTGAAGCCAGTTTGGAAATCTCCGCCTCGGCATAAAATACAATATTCGGATTTTCAACACAAATATGAAATCGGTCCTTGTATATGGGTCAGGAACTTGCACTGCATGTCACGAGAAGAAATTCTAACAGGTTGCAGACTTTCATCAGCAGCTGCCTTCACTGACTCTATACTGAAGGTCAAATGGCCAGAAAGAATTAGTAACAAAAAACTCTAGGAACAAACCAGCCAAGAACTGATCGTTCAACAAGTGTGTGGGAGAAAATGGAGATGAATCGAGAATACATTGAGGTGGTGGTCGAATGACATCGCGCGTAATGCAAGCCATCGGATTAGTGGGACCCAACTGCGAAGTGACAAGTGGGTCGTCAGTGTGAGTGTGATATGGAGGAGATCGTGTGAGGAAGAGATGAGAGACTATGAGCAGTGGTGTGGCTAGCCATTTGAAGAGGACGACAGAAAATAAAAGAAAGAAGAGATGTTTTATTTCTAATATATTTCGGAGTTGACTGAGAATTTGTGCAGTTGAACAATGAACGTTTAAATCAGTAACTTGTAACGATAGAGACATTTTCTACTGTATTCCAGATTATGATAGAAGCATCTTATATTTTTGGAGTTGTATTTTCTCCATGTATATGTTATTTTCAAAAGACTTGAATATTATGTATTCTTGCTCAAAAATTACCTATTATTGTCACCACATGGTAGAATTTGATACCGTGTCTAACTGTTTATCAAGTTTAGCTGTCAAAATGACAATATTTTCTCCGAAACAGTAGTGGCAGATTTGAAATAACCTTTGACCCCTTCCCAACATAATTTCATCCCAGTTAAGATTGTTCGTTGAAGAAATCAATGGTTCAGTATGCATCGCACAAGTCTCACTTGTATTAATTAAATCCCTTGTCAGTGGATTTTTCTTCCACACATAACACTGTGTGTAAAGAGAGTGTAGACTGTTGAACTGCATAAATGCCTTTTGGTCAGTAACCAGGTATATCACTGGTGCGCATATGATGCCGAGCTAAGTTCATTCGGAACGTATTCAGGGTGTTCAAATAACATTTACATTCTATCAGTTCTTTCAAGACTGTATAGCCTTCAAAAATATCCCTGATAACAAATCAATCCCTGAATAGTCGAAGCGAAATAGGATAACTTCCATTAGAACGTATTTAATAAAACTAAATAAGAACGATGTCTTTGGGCATTCCTGATGGAAGTCAATAGTTGTCATCAATTCAGAAGACTATTCCCACTTGGTCTAACACTGCTGTATACGTTTCAGTGTAATGTTTTGATCAGCGTAACATACTTTCTCAGCATTGCCTTAATAGACAGACATTGCTATAACATTGATATAATAAAAGCCTCGAAAACTAAATGCTGCATAAACTTCAGGTATTAAATTTAGTTATTTTGTTTTATCGAAAGTGACAGACTAGAGAATTCTACGCTACTGCTCATCAGAGGGAACAAAGCGTAATATTCATAGTGAGTAAGGATTGAAATGTACCCTTATTTGGTTCTGGCACCCAAGAAAGCTGCTTGCCCCCCCTGAGTGACTTAAATTTTAACCTGCTATCTCCTGCTAAATTTTGCATAAATATGTGTAACAAAATAAAACAAGTGATGTTATTGCCCAGAATATTTTGCTGCAATTTAAGAATCCCCTATATTTTAAAATACTGAAACGCTGTGTTGTCATATTTTGAAATCATTATGACGTAACTAGCGATTCCTTGAGTAATCAGGCGTTTTATAAGAAATGTTCACAATGAAATAAAACAACAAACCTTTAAGTAAAGATTTCGCTACGAATAGTTTTAACTCGTCCATATCACGTTTCTTACTATAAAGTTGATATTTCTGACCGTTTATTTTGCAACCTTGAAATTTAATCATGTTAAAAAAATATGAGAGACAGAATTAATTTACAATAAAGGTTTTTGTATTTCCCAATGAATGAAAAACAAAACGATATTGTTTTTACTGACGTTTCGCTATTTAATGCTAATAGCTTTATCAAAGTATTATTAAACCGGAATTTACAAAATCTCAGCATATATATAACAAACAGTTAGGGGGTGAGAAAATAGACATAGGTCAAGTTAAAGGGACATATTGAAAGTAAAAATAGCGATGAAGATAACTATACCAAATAACAAAGGTAATAGTATGTCTGTTATGATATCGAAAAAAGAAAGAAAATTTTACTAACTTGATCATCGTTCGTCTGTCTGGGACATTTTTAGTTGTTAAGTTGGTGAATTGGTAAAGATAACAAATCATCATGTGTAGATTGTTGGATTTGATAAGTGTATGAGATTATAAAAGCAGCGTGTGTTTACATAATGAAAGTGCTTATCACATTCGTGTTGGTTTTGTCACTTGATGGGGAGGAGGGAGGTGTTGTAACCAGGTCAGATTCTGTTTTAGTCCATCATTCCTATTCAGGCAATTTTGATTCCACTTGATATGAAGTGCTTCTGATATCAAACGTTCTTTGTGATTTCTGAAGTTTTTCTGGATTATTTCAACATTGTCAAAATCAATTTTGTGGCCTGATTCTATAGCATGTAGACCTATGGCTGATGATTTTTCAAGTCTTTGTAGTTCAACAGGATTCTTCGGTGGTCGAAGAGATGCTCTACGGTGTTCATTTCTTCTGATTTTGATTTCTCGAGAAGTTTGTCCGATGTATATCGCATCACATTCCAAGCATTTTATCTTATAAACACAATTAGATAGCGAATCTTTAGGGATTTGGTCTTTTATATGGACAAGGTTGCTTTGAAGTGTGTCTGATGTTTTGAAGAAAACTCTAATATCGAGCTGATTGAGTACTCTTCTGATATCGTCTGACGTCTCTTCTCTATATGGAATGACGACTGTTGATGTCCATGTTTTCGGGATGCGTTTTCGGCCATACTTGATGTCTGTGTTGATTTTGTTGATGAAGTTCCATGGGTAGTTGTTTTGCTTGAGCGTTTCAGTAATGTTTGATATTTCTTCTTCTTTTTCTTTCTCGTCGGTTATCAGAGAGTGTGCTCGTCTAAGAAGACTTGAAACAACTGAAATCTTTGCGCTGATGGGGTGTGATGACTTGAAGTCTAAATATTTATTTGAGTGGGTTTTATTCCTGAATATGGATATACTAAAATGTCCGTTTTCCTTTCTCTTAACTAGGCAGTCTAGAAATGGTAGTTCACCGATGTCTGATTCTGCTTCCGAAGTGAATTGGATTCTGGGACATACAAAGTTTATTTTCTCCAGGAATGAATTGTGTAAATCTCGTTTTAGTACTACAAAAGTATCATCCACATATCTTAACCATATTTTAGGAGTGAGTATGCTTGAAAAGATGTTATTTTCGAATTTATTCATGAAAAGGTCGGCGACTATTGGTGAGACTGGTGAACCCATAGCAACACCATTTGTCTGTCTATATAAACTCCCTTTAAATGTGAAATAATTATTTTCTAGACAGAATTTTAAGCTCTTAATTATTTGACTGGTGTCCAGTGGACATCTTTGTGATAGCGTTGTATCTGATTCTAGAAGACTGGAGATGATATCAAGACTTTCGGTAATGGGGATACTAGTATATAATGAGTTAATATCATAGCTTACCATAATGTCTTCTTTATCAATTTCTCGGTGTTCTATTTGGGATTTGAAATCATATGAATTCCTGACAATATTTTGAGTGTCCTTTTGTAGGGGTTGTAGTATCGAGAGTAAGTATTTAGATAGGTTGTATGTCGGTGAGTTGGTGAAATCTATTACTGGTCTCAATGGAACTGTGGGTTTATGTATCTTTGGTTGACCGTAGAATCTTGAAGGTACATAAGACTTTGGTTTTAGTTTAAACCAGAGAGGATTTCCAATTTTGGGTTTCATTTCTTGAAGGACTCTGTTTGTATTTATTTTCATTTTGTTGAATTCGGCGGATTTCTTCTTCTCTTCAATGAGTAAGTATGGTCCTTCAGATAGGTGTTCGATCGCCTTCTTTTCGGAATCCGTTCTGTTCATAATCACGGTGACATTTCCCTTGTCGGCTTTCGTTATAACGATGCTTTTGTCCTTCTTCAAATTTCTTAAGGCTTCATATTCTTGTTTGTTGAGATTAGATGGTATGTTTCGTTGTGTCATTAATATGTGTGATATCTTTTGACGAACAGGTTGTGATTCTTCATTGGTGAATTGTTGTAGAGCAGGTTCAATGATAGGTGCTATTTCCTGGACCGATAATGGCTTTCTGGTGATATTGAAATTCAGACCTTTCTGTAGTAATGAGATTTCACTTTCGGTTAGTATCTCGTCTGACATGTTATGTATGGCTCTAATATTCTTCATATCATTTGTTGAGGTTTTCTTTGGTTGTTTCTTTTCTTCGAGTTTTGAGAATTTTTGTATTTGTCTTCTTTTAGTGACATTATGAAAATGAGATTCTCGTTCATTAAACAGTTTTTGGAAGGATTCATAGATATGACTTGTAACAAGTAATGTTAAACAGTCGTCTATATTTTTGATTCTCGTTCGATAAGATTCAAGTTTGATGTTGCAGTTATGTATTCTTTCTCGTAAAAATACCTTGGAGGTATGATTTGCAGCAAGTATGGATTTGTGTGAATATTCAAGAGGTTTAACTCGCAGTGACTTAGGAATAATTCCACTTTGTAGACAGCGTACGTTGAAAATACGATGATTATAGAAGTTACATTTATGCTTTGATAGAGTAATCCGGTTTTTAATTAAAGTATATATGTCCAAACCAAGTTGACTTTTAACGGTTTGAAAAAATTTGGGCATTGGGTATATGATATTCATTATAATAAAGGTTTTTGTATTTCCCAATGAATGAAAAACAAAACGATATTGTTTTTACTGACGTTTCGCTATTTAATGCTAATAGCTTTATCAAAGTATTATTAAACCGGAATTTACAAAATCTCAGCATATATATAACAAACAGTTAGGGGGTGAGAAAATAGACATAGGTCAAGTTAAAGGGACATATTGAAAGTAAAAATAGCGATGAAGATAACTATACCAAATAACAAAGGTAATAGTATGTCTGTTATGATATCGAAAAAAGAAAGAAAATTTTACTAACTTGATCATCGTTCGTCTGTCTGGGACATTTTTAGTTGTTAAGTTGGTGAATTGGTAAAGATAACAAATCATCATGTGTAGATTGTTGGATTTGATAAGTGTATGAGATTATAAAAGCAGCGTGTGTTTACATAATGAAAGTGCTTATCACATTCGTGTTGGTTTTGTCACTTGATGGGGAGGAGGGAGGTGTTGTAACCAGGTCAGATTCTGTTTTAGTCCATCATTCCTATTCAGGCAATTTTGATTCCAAATACAAAAATTCTCAAAACTCGAAGAAAAGAAACAACCAAAGAAAACCTCAACAAATGATATGAAGAATATTAGAGCCATACATAACATGTCAGACGAGATACTAACCGAAAGTGAAATCTCATTACTACAGAAAGGTCTGAATTTCAATATCACCAGAAAGCCATTATCGGTCCAGGAAATAGCACCTATCATTGAACCTGCTCTACAACAATTCACCAATGAAGAATCACAACCTGTTCGTCAAAAGATATCACACATATTAATGACACAACGAAACATACCATCTAATCTCAACAAACAAGAATATGAAGCCTTAAGAAATTTGAAGAAGGACAAAAGCATCGTTATAACGAAAGCCGACAAGGGAAATGTCACCGTGATTATGAACAGAACGGATTCCGAAAAGAAGGCGATCGAACACCTATCTGAAGGACCATACTTACTCATTGAAGAGAAGAAGAAATCCGCCGAATTCAACAAAATGAAAATAAATACAAACAGAGTCCTTCAAGAAATGAAACCCAAAATTGGAAATCCTCTCTGGTTTAAACTAAAACCAAAGTCTTATGTACCTTCAAGATTCTACGGTCAACCAAAGATACATAAACCCACAGTTCCATTGAGACCAGTAATAGATTTCACCAACTCACCGACATACAACCTATCTAAATACTTACTCTCGATACTACAACCCCTACAAAAGGACACTCAAAATATTGTCAGGAATTCATATGATTTCAAATCCCAAATAGAACACCGAGAAATTGATAAAGAAGACATTATGGTAAGCTATGATATTAACTCATTATATACTAGTATCCCCATTACCGAAAGTCTTGATATCATCTCCAGTCTTCTAGAATCAGATACAACGCTATCACAAAGATGTCCACTGGACACCAGTCAAATAATTAAGAGCTTAAAATTCTGTCTAGAAAATAATTATTTCACATTTAAAGGGAGTTTATATAGACAGACAAATGGTGTTGCTATGGGTTCACCAGTCTCACCAATAGTCGCCGACCTTTTCATGAATAAATTCGAAAATAACATCTTTTCAAGCATACTCACTCCTAAAATATGGTTAAGATATGTGGATGATACTTTTGTAGTACTAAAACGAGATTTACACAATTCATTCCTGGAGAAAATAAACTTTGTATGTCCCAGAATCCAATTCACTTCGGAAGCAGAATCAGACATCGGTGAACTACCATTTCTAGACTGCCTAGTTAAGAGAAAGGAAAACGGACATTTTAGTATATCCATATTCAGGAATAAAACCCACTCAAATAAATATTTAGACTTCAAGTCATCACACCCCATCAGCGCAAAGATTTCAGTTGTTTCAAGTCTTCTTAGACGAGCACACTCTCTGATAACCGACGAGAAAGAAAAAGAAGAAGAAATATCAAACATTACTGAAACGCTCAAGCAAAACAACTACCCATGGAACTTCATCAACAAAATCAACACAGACATCAAGTATGGCCGAAAACGCATCCCGAAAACATGG